GGCACCTTAGAGACTAACAAATTTATTAGAGCATAAGCTTTCGTGGACTACAGCCCACGAAGATGCATCCGAAGAAGAGGGGTGTAGTCCACGAAAGCTTATGCTCTAATAAATTTGTTAGTCTCTAAGGTGCCACAAATACTCCTGTTCTTCTTCTAGCCAAAAAGACAACTAAGAAAGCTACTTATGCTATGCATTAAACTCACAGATTATAACAGCATGCCGCAAGAGTCTACTTTAACATTTCCCAAGTAGTTTTCTTGCTTTATATATAAACTGTTCAATGGAGAGTTTTTGAAGGAGGCTTCTCAAAGATACCGACTTCCAAACCATTAGGATTTTAAATACAACTATTTTATAAAAGCAGTAAAGATCCCTGACACTAAGGTCAGGGTGAACACGGCTTCAACACATTTTTAATACTGTTTATGTACAATTACATCCTGAGATGAATACATTAGTGGGATCAAAGCAAGATGGGTAGCAGCTGGCTAGCTGAAGAACAATGTTACTAATTTGAGCAGCTTGCTGCTATCTAATTTTTCAAAGCTGAGCAGGTTTGGACCGATGTAGTATTTGGACGGAGAGCCAGCAGTCATTACAGAATGTTTAGCTGCGCTGATGTGACCGCAGTAGTTGACATTTATGATTATGTACATTAAATGTTCTAAAAAAAATTTACATGTTGAGTTACACAGCTCATGGCTGGGTGCCCTGAACTGGTCCCAGGAGAAGCATTGGTCAACGAAGGGGAAAAGATGGAAGTGAGCACCGCGTGTGAGCCAGAGCAACCTGAGTGGAGCAAATGCTTCCATCCTGTAACGGATCCCCCCGTTTCTGCGGGAAGAATTGTTGGGAAGTTAAACCCCACAACAAGAGCAACCGTCTAGTCTCGGCTGCACCACAAACGGGCTCAGGCGCCTGGAACCCCCACGACGCTCCGCCGCTGCCCCTTTCTCCTGCCCGCTCCTCCCCCCCTTGGCTGACTGGGACCCTGAGGCACAAAGCCCGGCAGCACGAGCGCTCCCCGCCCCAGGGCGCCGCAGGTTGAGCGCGGCCCGCCCCCAGCCCCGCCTCCTCGGCGGCGGAGCTTCCTCTTGGCGGGCGGCGGGGCATGAAGGTAGGAGGCCCGGCGTGCGGGGCGGCGTTCCCTGGCTCCCCTCGCCCCGTCACAGGGCGCGCTCCAGCGGCCCCCCCGGAAAGGCCCCGGCAGCAGGAGCCGCTCGGCCCCGTTATGGGGGGCGGGGGCAGCTGGGTCTCTGCGGCCCGCGAGACGGGCCCCCTCCCGCACGGGGAACCCCAGGAGCGGCCCCGCTGCGATGCGTGAGGAAGGCCGGGCCTGCCACGGGCTCCTCTGGGACTGGCTCATCATGGTTGGAAGGGACTTCAGGAGGTCATCTAGTCCCACCCCCTGTTCAGAACAGGACCAAGCCCCAGACAGATTTTTGCCCCAGATCCCTAAATGGCCCCCTCAAGGATTGAACTCACAACCTTGGGTTTAGCAGGCCAATGCTCAAACCCCAGAGCGAAGAAGGCTGGGCCTGCTGGGGCAGGGTCCTCTCTGGCAGGGGTTCTCAAACGGGGGGTCGCAGGCTTAGGGTTGCCAGCTGTCAACCTCCACCCCAAACCCCGCTGTGCATCCAGCATTTATAATGGTGTTAAATATATAAACAAGTGTTTTTAATTTAGAAGGGGGGTTGCACTCAGAGGCTTGCTATGTGAAAGGGGTCACCGATACAGTAGTTTGAGAACCACAGCTCTAGGGCAACTCATTCATCAAAGTGTGTGAGAGAGACTGGAGCCACTCAGCAGCCCAGCTGTCAAGGGGTGCAAAGAAGGCTGGGCCCACTGGGGCTTTCTCTGAGGCTGGCCCTTCATCGCGGCATGTGAAGAAGGTTGGGTCCGCTACGGCTTTCTCTGAGGCTGGGCCTTCATCTTGAGGACTGGAGCTGGTAGGGCTGATCCTAGCAAAACTTCCTCATTACAAGGCACAAGAAAATCTGGGTCCGCTTGCATTAAAGAATGCTAACAAGTAATCTTTTTCTTTTAATGGTCAGTGTTTGTGATACTTTTGGTAGAAACCAGTGCACACTCCACTATCTCACCCTTCCCTTTTCAATTTGTCAGATATATTTTTAGTTACTGTCCTGTGTATTTTAGAAAGGGGCTGAAATTATGTAAGGATTTTAATGACTTCACTTTGTTCTGCCAGAATGTATTTGTGCAGTAGCATTGGCTGTCTGGTATCTGCACAGATTGGGCTGTAAGGTTATATTACAGGGACACCATGTAGTAGATCAGACCCAAAATTTAGGTTGTAATTATTATTTTTTTTAAAAAGGAGTATATAGTTGTATCTGGGTCAATTTAAATAGTCCTTTTGTGTGTTTGCAAAAACTAATGTGATGGCATTGTGAAACTAGTATGATGCTTTCCCTATGGATGGAATGTCTGTTGTGTTTGGACTCTTCCTACCCACGCAATGGTGTACGTATAGATACAGCTAAGAGCCATGTGCTCCCCTTAAAGCATTTAAACCCCATGGAAGGAGCAGGTTAGTCCCTATAATTGCATGACTTCTGAAGATACTATTGCAATCTTCTCTCACAACTGTGTAGATCAGAAGAGGAGCAGGTTGGAGATGCATATAAGCTGCAGCTCTTAGGTTTGTGCTATCTCTGGGATTGCAGGGTTCTCACAAGTGGAATGCTGTCAGTAGCTGGTATGGAGCACAGTCAAACTTGCTCCATTTTCAGAAGGACTCAGCATTGTGCTTGTAAAGATGTGAGGGAGAAACCATACAATAGTATGGTTCTCTCGTCTCTTTTTGGTTTTCCAAGTAAATGATATAAGTTTCTATATTGTTTCATCCTGAAGGATCTGAAATCTGTTTTATAAGCAAGTACACAGTATAATGGGATCCCTTCCCCACTACTGAAATGCAGCCTCCTCTGAAAAAGGTTCTGTGATTCACAGAACCTCCTTAATACAGGAAGTGAAGAATTGAATTGAATTGAAACTGCAGGGCAAACTTAAGGCAGCAGGTTCCTATAAGTTACCCTCTTTTGCTCCCTGCCGGCAGGCAGCAGGGCGCTCCCTCCAGGGGAAGGGCCTCTCTCTCCCTCAGTACGGAGGAGTTCGGGGAAAGGGTCCCTCTTCCCACCAGTAGCAGCGAGCTCCGGGGCCTGGGGGAGAGGCCTGCAGCAGCCCTGCAAGCCCCAACTTGTTTCCCTGCCCACCTGCTACCTCTCTCTTCTCCAGGCCCTTGCTGCGCAGCAACAGTCGTTACAGTTTGAATTTGCAAGGTGACCCAGTGCCTGACATTCCATGACCCAGTACTGGGTTGTGACCCGTACTTTGAAAAATACTGCTATAAGTCATAGGAGCATAAGACTGGAAAGGACCTCCTGGGTCATTGGGTCCAATCACCTGCTATCACAAGTTATCCCATTGTGTATTCCCATTCATAAACTTATCAAGCTTCATCTTAAAACTAATTAGGGTATTTGCCTCTCTATGCCTATTGGAAGGTTGTTCCAGAACCTCAGTCCTCTGATGGCTAGAAACCTTCTCATTTCCAGCCTAAACTTATTCATGGTCAGTTTATGGTCCAGGTAGTGAATTTAATATCCTCTTTCCCAAAAGTGACATGCGATCTCTAATGAATACAGGTTGCTAGAACTGATTTTATATCTTATCTGAAAATATGTGCTGTACAATATTGGATTGATTTAAACGCCTAAGCACATAATTACTGGACATGTTACTGGGTTAGTACCTTGAAGAGGGGTGGGGGAGGGCAATTTGTTCCCATTGAAGTCAATGGCAAAAACTCATTTGAACTTCAGCAACTGTATTGGGCTTTTACAACATAGAAGCTACTGATCGATTGGACATGCCTACATTGTTATAAAATAATGTAGCCCTTTGTGTATTTATAGTTGCTATTATATACAAAGCAAATTTTTTATTTCTGACTTCTCTGGAGCTATTCTATTTCAACAAGGTAACTGATAGAGTAATCAGGTTTAGATTAATAACATGCTATCTTCCACCATCCTGCGGGGAATCCTGTTAATATGGTGAGATAATGGACTATTGAACCAAAATGAAGAGAATCTTTATAGCCCTTTAGGAAATAATGGTTCATTTCTTTTGATATAACTACATGTGGTTGGCTGTGTGCAGTATTTTTATTTTAATACCTTTTGAAGTAGCTTTAATGGTAGTCATTTCCTTTCTTCCCTCACCCCTCCCTAGGGCAAAGACTTAATTGTTGAAATACTCAAAATTTGTATTGTTTACAAGGCTGTGGGAATGTCTGAAAATAAATTTTGAAAATTAAGTTTTTAAATTTTATTAACTTTAAGAGAATGCAAATATGCAACATAAATAAATATTAAATAAATTAATGGAGATATCCTATCTCCTAGAACTGGAGGGGATCTTGAAAGGTCATCAAGTCCAGCCCCCTGCCTTCACTAGCAGGACCAAGTACTGATTTTTGCCCCAGATCCCTAAGTGGCCCCTCAAGGATTGAACTCACAACCCTGGGTTTAGTAGGCCAATGCTCAAACTACTGAGCTATCCCTCCCCCCACCAAAACACTGGAAGGGACCTTGGTTATTGAGTCCAGCCCCCTGCCTTCACTAGCAGGACCAAGCATGAATGCAATTTACAATATTTTGCTAACAGTCTCTGGACTGCTTTTAATTAAACATACAAATAGCACATACATTCAGATCACATATATAAACATAAGACATCTTCCTTCTGACAATGTAAAGGAGAAACAAACAAAACTAATTTATGACAACTATTTGTACAAAACACTGCCGCTAAAACAGGTGCGTCAAACAGCTCGCCCATTCAATATTGTCATGTGGCTTGCATACCATATAAAGATTTTGTAGAATATCCGCTTTCATTTTAAAACCAACATCTACACTAGAAATGCTTCAGCAGCACAGCTGTATCTGTAGCACTTCAAAGTAGACGTTAGCTGCACTGACAGGAGGGATTTTCCCATTGGCATAGGTAATCCACCTCCCCGAGAGGTGATAGCTAGGGCCTGGTCTACGTGAGAAAATTAGGTCGGTTTAACTGTGTCAGTCGGGGGTGTGAAAAATCCACACCCCTGAGGGGCAATGTTTAACTGACCTAAATCCCTGTTGACCTTAGCTACTGCCTCTCAAGGAGATGTATTGCCTATGCCGAAGGGAGAATCCCTCTCATTGGCATTGGTAGTGTCTATACTGAAGCGCTACAGTGGTGCAGCTGTGCTGCTGTTATGTTTTAAGTGTAAACAAGCCTATTGACCTAATGGTAGGGGTTAGGTCAGCTTAACTACACAGCGCAGAGAGATGGATTTTTCACACCCCTAACTGACACCAACTTAACTTTCTAACGTAGACCAGGCCCAAATAAATTTCTAGCCATCATTGTTGCTAAGAGAGTCTTCTCTTCCAAATGCAAAGTGAGCATAAACCAATGTAGTGTTGTCTTTCTGACAATGAGAATATCCTTCCAATTGATATTGGAGGGGACAATAAGGTTTGTTACTGAATAAAAGCCATATTCTACCTTTAACCTTTGTGCAAACCTCATTAACATCACTGTGAGATATGTTGTGAATTGGAAAGGGCGGTCCTACATTTATACCCCAGTCCACGGACTACATTTAAAAATGTAATTTGACCCAAGTAGTAGAATGAGTTTGACACCCCTTATTTAAAGCAAAGCCACAACTAGTTGTTGTTGTTTGTTGTTTTTTCCTCTGCAGAATAAGCACGTGCAATAGACTTACAGTGATATATTTGTACACTGACTTGGGCATAATGTCCATGGATATAACTTTTCTGGGAACAGGCTCAGCATATCCATCTCCAACAAGAGGAGCTTCAGCTTTAGTCATTCGTAGTGAAGGAGAATGCTGGCTATTTGATTGTGGAGAGGGAACTCAAACACAATTTATGAAAAGCCATCTTAAAGCAGGTCAGTGCAATTGAAAGTTGTTATCTTGAGAGAGAATAATCTTCATACTGTCCAAAGGAAATACCTTTTCTAGTCAGGCTCACATTGTCTGAAGACCTCTGTAAATATGAGTGAACATCTCTAATTACTGTATTTTAGGTGGGACCACTTGAACTTGCTATGGAATTCTCCTTTATCACCCTTTGTTGCAGAATTGTTCTCCAGAACAAAAGCTTTAATCTAATACAAGCTTCTAGCCTTAATGATTATAATTTCCAAAAATGAACTAAATTTAAACCTATGCATTGCCATATTCTGAGTCTGCAGACAGCTTGAAACAATAGCTTGACGTGTGAATGGTCCCATTCACTTTAATTGGGTGTTCAGAAAGCTGCGGATGTTGATGGACATGTCAACGTTAACATTAATTATTTCATGACTGATCACTTAAAAATATTTGCTGTTATATTTGCTTATCCCAAAACACTTCGAGTACCTGTGCAAGTTCCAAAAACCCTAACTGCTTTCTACCTAGCTGCCAAAATATTCACCTTTCCCTTGTGACTTTTACAATGCAGTTGTGTTGTCCATACCAAAAACTATGGCATATCAAAAACTGCATATGGGGATAGCATGGAACTTAATTTAATATCAAAACAAATAAACACTGAGTGTGCTGCTGATTGTACATTATTTGTTTTCATGTTTGTTTAAGTAAAAACATTAGAAATCTTAGCAGTTGTATGGGCTCATCACTAGATGAGGATGGTAAAATTATTGATGATGCAGAAAAGTGTTCAATAAATATTTCTGTTCTATATTTGGAAAGAAGCAGGATGAGGTATTCCTATCACATAAAAATGAAGTTCTTTCCAGTCCATTAGTAGCTAATGAGGATGATAGACATTATCTATTAGGGATAAACATTTGTAAACCAGCAGGCCTGGATAACTTGCACCTAAGAGTCCTAAAAGAGTTGGCTGAGGATCTATGTCCTGCTGACATTGATTTTTAATAAATGTTAGAATACTGGGGCAATTACAGAAGGCTTGAAAAGTACTCATGTTGTGCCAGTATTCAAAAAGGACAAGTGGGATGACCTGAATAACTATAGATTGATTAGCCTGCTATCAATCCCAGGCAAAATAATCAAAACATTGATAGAGGATTCAATTAATAAAGAGTTTAAGGATGGGAATATAATTAATGCCATTCAGGATGGTTTTATGGAAGTTAGGTCTTTTCAAATAATCTTAGTTTATTCTTTGAAATTACAAATTTGGTTGACAAAGGTAACTGCATAGATGTAATATACTTAGGCATTTGACTTAATACCATGGTACATTCTCATTAAAATAAGTAGTAATCATAGAATATTAGGGTTGGAAGAGACCTCAGGAGGTCATCTAGTCCAATCCACTGATCAAAGCAGGACCAACATCAACTAAACCATCCCAGCCAAGGCTTTGTCAAGCCGGGCCTTAAAAATCTCTAAGGATGGAGATTCCACCACCTCCCTAGGTAACTCATTCCAGTGCTTCAGCACCCTCCTAGTGAAATAGTGTTTCCTAATATCCAACCTAGACCTCACCCACTGCAACTTGAGACCATTGCTTCTTGTTCTGTCATCTGCCACCACTGTGAACAGACTAGATCCATCCTCTTTGGAACCCCCCCTTCAGGTAATTGAAGGCTGCTATCAAATTCCCTCTCACTCTTTTTTCTTCTGCAAACTAAATAACCCCAGTTCCCTCAGCCTCTCCTCACAAGTCATGTGCCCCAGTCCTCTAATCATTCCCTAATCATTTTCGTTGCCCTCCGCTGGACTGTCTCCAATTTATCCACATCCCTTCTGTAGTGGGGGGCCCAAAACTGGACACAGTACTCCAGATGAGGCCTCATCAATGTCGAATAGAGGGGAATGATCACGTCCCTCGATCTGCTGGCAATGCCCCTACTTATACAGCCCAAAATGCATTTAGCCTTCTTGGCAACAAGGGCACACTGTTGACTCATATCCAGCTTCTTGTCCACTGTAACCCCTAGGTCCTTTTCTGCAGAACTGCTGCCTAGCCACTCGGTCCCCAGCCTCTAGTAGTGCATGGGATTCTTCTGTTCTAAGAGCAGGACTCTGCACTTGTCCTTGTTGAACCTCATCAGATTTCTTTTGGCCCAATGCTCTAATGTATCTAGGTCCCTCTGTATGCTATACCTACCCTCCAGCATATCTACCACTCCTCCCAGTTTAGTGTCATCTGCAAACTTGCTGAGGGTGCAATTAATCCCATCATCCAGATCATTAATAAAGATGTTGAACAAAACCGGCCCCAGGACTGACCCCTGGGGCACTCCACTTGATCCCGGCTGCCAACTAGACATCGAGCCGTTGATCACTACCTGTTGAGCCTGACGATCTAGCCATCTTTCTATCCACCTTATAGTCCATTCATCCAATCCATACTTGTTTAACTTGCTGCCAGGAATACTCTGGGAGACTATTTCAAAAGCTTTGCTAAAATCAAGATATATCACATCCACCGCTGTCCCCATATCCACAGAGCCAGTTATCTAATCATAGAAGGCAATCAGGTTGGTCAGGCATGACTTGCCCTTGGTGAATCCATGTTGGTTGTTCCTGGTCACCTTCCTCTCCTCCAAGTGCTTCAAAATGGATTCCTTGAGGACCTGCTCCATGATTTTGCCGGGGACTGTAGTGAGGCTGACCGGTCTATAGTTCTCCGGGTTCTCTTTTTTCCCTTTTTTAAATATGGGCACTATATTTGCCTTTTTCCAATCGTCCGTGACCTCCCCGATCACCATGAATTTTCAGGATAATTGCCAATGGCTCTGCAATCACATCACCCAACTCCCTCAGCATCCTTGGATGCATTAAATCTGGACCCATCGACTTGTGCACGTCCAGCTTTTCTAAATAGTCCTTAACCTGTTCTTTCACCACTGAGGGTTACTCACCTCCTCCCCAGACTATGCTGCCCAGTGCAGCAGTCTGGGAGCTGACCTTGTCTGTGAAGACCGAGGCAAAAAAAGCATTGAGTACTTCAGCTTTTTCCACATCATCTGTCTCTATGTTGCCTCCTCCATTCAGTAAGGGTCCCACACTTTCCCTGGCCGCCTTGTCGCTAACATACCTGTAGAAATCCTTCTTGTTACCCTTCACATCCCTTGCTAGCTGCAACTCCAATTGTGCTTTGGCCTTCCTGATTACACCCCTGCATGCTCTAGCAACATTTTTATACTCCTCCCTAGTCATCTGTCCAAATTTTCAGTTCTTGTAAGCTTCCTTTTTGAGTTTAAGCTCCCCGAAGATTTCACTGTTAAGCCAAGCTTGTCACCTGCCATACTTTGCTATTCTTTCTGCACTTCGGGATAGTTTGTTCCTGAGCCCTCAATAAGGCTTCTTTAAAATACAGCCAGCTCTCCTGGACTCCTTGCCCCTTCATATTAGCCTCCCAGGGGATCCTGCCCATCAGTTCCCTAAGGGAGTCTGTGTGCTTTTCTGAAGTCCAGGGTCTGTATTTTGCTGCTACTCCTTTCTTCCTTTTTTCAGGATCCTGAACTCAGCCATCTCATGATCACTGCTGCCTATGTTGCCACCCACTTTTACTTCCTCTGCCAATTCTTCCCGTTTGTAAGCAGCAGGTCAAGAGGAGCACGGCCCCTAGTCGGTTCCTCCAGCACTTGTACCAGGAAGTTGTCCCCAACGCTCTCCAAAAACTTCCTGGATTGTCTGTGCACTGCTGTATTGCTCTCCCAGCAGATGTCAGGGTGATTGAAGTCCCCCCATTAGAACCAGGGCCTATGATCTGGAGACTTCAATTAGTTGTCTGAAGAAAGCCTCATCTACCTCATCCTTCTGATCCGGTGGTCTATAGCACATGTCCACCACGACATCACGCTTTTTGCTCTTGCCTCTAAACTTAACCCAAAGACTCTCAACAGGCTTTTCTCCAGTTTCAAACTGGAGCTCTGAGCAATCATATCACTCTCTTACATACAATGCAACTCCTCCACGTTTCCTCCCGTACCAGTCCTTCTTGAACAGTTTATACCCATCCATGACAGTGCTCCAGTCATGTGAAGTGCCCCACCAAGTTTCTGTTGTTCCAATCACATCATAGTTCCTTGATTGTGCCAGGACTTCCAATTCTTCCTGCTTGTTTCCCAGGCTTCTTGCGTTCGTGTACGTGCACCTAAGATAACTAGCCGATTGCCCTACTTTCTCAGTATAAATCAGGAGGCTTCCCATCTTGTACCCTCCTCCTTGTGTTGCCTCCCGGTATCCCACTCCCCCGCTTACCTCTTGGCTTAGGTCACCATCCCCCGGCAAACCTAGTTTAAAGCCCTCATCACTAGGTTAGCAAGCCTGCCTGCGAAGATGCTCTTCCCTCTCTTCGTTAGGTGGATCCCATCTCTTTCTAGCAATTCTTCTTCCCGGAACAACATCTCATGGTCGAAAAATCCAAAGCTCTCTCTCCGACACCACCTGTGTAACCATGCATTCAGCTCCACAATTCAATGGTCCCTACCTTGGCCTTTTCCTTCAACAGGGAGGATGGATGAGAACAGGACTTGCGCCTCAAACTCCTTTATCTTTCTTCCCAGAGCCACGTAGTCTGCAGTGATCCGCTCAAGGTCTTCTTGGCAGTATCATTGGTGCCCACGTGGAGAATATACAATATCAATAGAGCACAAGTTAAGTGGATTAAGAACTGCATAACTGATACATCTCAAAAAGCTGCTGTCAATGGGGAATCATCATCGAATGGGGGTATTTTAGTGGGGTCCCACAGGGATCAGTGCTAGGCCCAATGCTATTCAAGGCTTTCATCAGTGACGTGAAAGTTATATATAAAATCACTGCTGAGAATCTGCAAATTATAACAGAGTGGTCAATGATGAGGACAGGGCAGTCAGAGAGAGCAGTTTGGATTGCTTGGTAAACTGGGTCCATTAAGACAGAATGCGAAGTTATACATCTAGGAATGCAGGCCATACCTGCAGAATGGGGGAGTGTATCCTGGAAAGCCAGTGACTCTGAAAATGAGTTATTGGTCATAATAGACAAGCAATGCAACATAAGCTCCTAGTTCAATTCTGTGGAAAAAGGGCTAATGCAGTCCTTTATGTATAAATGGGAGTAATGAGTAGGAGTAGGGATGCAATTTATTTAAAAGCTCTGTGTATGACATTGGTGAGAGCAATGCTGGAATATTGTGTCTAGTTCTGATACTGACACTTTAATAAAAAAAAAAGTTGAAAAATTGCAGAGGGTGCAGAAAAAAGCCACAAAAAATTATCTGAGGGCTGGAGAAAATGCCTTGCAGTGAGATCTAAAGAGCTGTGTAGTTTATCTAAAAGATTAGTCTATAGGTACCTTCACAACAGGAAGAAAATACCAGGTAGTAAAGGGCCCTTTAATCTAGCAAAGAAAGGTATCACAAGAACCAGTGGCTGGAAACTGAAGCCAAATTAGAAAGAAGGCACAAATTAACAGCGAGAGTGATTAACCATTTGAACAAACCACCAAGGGAATTGAAGAATTCCTCATTTCCTGAAGTCTTCAGATCAAGACGGTAAACCTTTCTGGAACATATGCATTAGTCAAACACAAGTCATTGGGCTAAATTCATGGGTGACTGGGATAAGACAGAAGGTCAGACTAGATGATCTAATTGTGACTTTTGATATTAAACTGTGAATATTTAACTGGTTAAACCTCCTTAATTGAGATTAAAATGCTGCAGAAAATCCAGAATCCTGTGCCAGAATGTACTGCCAGCTTGCTGTGGAGTACATGAAATCTTAGTTGTAAATTGCGCTATACAGCTTGTGGGAGGCCTCTTTGCATGTTTGGAATGAACTAGAAACTAGAACAAAGGCAGAAGTTCACCCAGTGGTTCTCATTGGCCCACAGTCTTCATGTGGTATGATAAAATGCAGCTCCCATCCAGAACTTGTTTGCATTTTAATGCAGCAATGGTCACCATATTAGTCAATTTTTCTTAAAACGCATTTTGATCTTAACTTTCAACCACACAAACTTTTGGCAAAAAATGGCTTGTCAACCCAAACAAAAACAATGACAAATGTAATTTTGGTTCAGACTTTTCAAATTTTAATTGAAAAAATAAAAAGTGAAAAAAAATTTCAATTAAAAAACTATACTTCTTGGTTTGGTTTTGGTTTTAAAAAAATTGGGAACTGATTTTTTTGTAAATTTCCCACAAAATAATTGGCATTTTTTAACCAGCTCTAATTTTGCTGCTGTGAGTGTAATTGTCATTCAGCACATTTACTATGGTGTCTTTTTGTTTCAATCATAGGTAGAATTACTAAGATATTCATAACTCATCTTCATGGGGACCATTTTTTTGGTCTTCCCGGTCTCCTGTGCACAATTAGCCTTCAGAGTAGTTCTTCTACAAGCAAGCAACCTGTTGATATCTATGGACCATTAGGACTACGAAACTTCATTTGGAGAACTCTGGAACTCTCCCACTCGCAACTTCTCTTTCCATATGTGGTTCATGAACTGGTACCTACACCAGATCAGTGCCCTGCAGAAGAATTTAAAGAACTATCTTACGTTGACAGAGATGAAGTCTCTTCCAAAGAAGTGCAAGGGAGAACGCTTCATCTGGATCCTGTAGAAAACTCCTACACACTGGTCAACAATCAGCAATTTGTTATGAAAGCATTTCGATTATTTCACCGTATTCCTTCCTTTGGATTTTTAGTGGAGGAGAAGCAGCGGACTGGTAAACTTAATGCGCAGAAGCTAAAAGACCTTGGTAACTAGCTTCATTTATTTTTTCCTTGAATTCTTATGACTTGTGGATATTACTTTGTTTCTTAAAATCTATTCGTGAATGTCCTTATGATATAATTGATGCATATTAAAGTCATAATAGAACAATACACTTAACTACATTTCTTATATGCTTACGTTAACTGCCAAATGCTTTATTAGACTTTCTAAGGCACCTATTCTGATGGTGTGTAAGCAAGAGTGTTATATTGTAACTGTTGAAAATGGATCCATCAATAGGTGATGGATATTCAAGTATACACAGTGTTCAGGCTGACAGCTGATTCACATTTCCAGGAATTGTAACAAAACGATATTCTTCACTAATGGCTATAGTGTCTTCTGAAAACTCCTGCAAGGAAGCTTACTGAATCAGAACAGTGTGCATCTGTCTGTAATACATTCTGAAATGGGCCACTTTATTCTTCACAAGAAAAGGGAAGATATTCTATAATTTTTTTTTCCCTCTACAAATGCATACTGGTTTGCTCATTAGAGGGGTAAAAACCAAGCTCCACTTGCTAGCACATTTATTAAGGGCTTACATGAGAAAGAGAACATAAAACTGGCTATAGAGTGTATTTGGGGGAATGTATTCACTTCAAAATACGCAACTTAAAATCTGTTGTTAGAGCCTCTTACTAAACTTAAGATTTTGTTCTCTTGGAGTATGAAATAAGTGAAATGTTAGTTTTTGTAAGTCATGGATCTACAGGATTGGTACTACACCACCAGCTTTTGAACAGGTCTCTCTTCCTTCAGCATAGGCACTATCTCTCTCTGATTTCCTCAGTTAGTTCCCCAGTAGTGAGCTAGCTTCCTCCAAACCCAGAAGTCCACATTTTATTCCCCGATGGACACATCTGTCCTTTTTTTTTCTTTCTCCAGACAGGGCCATGCTGAGTTCAGAGCCCCATTGCCAGAGCTTGGGTTCCTCCTCAGCTTCCCTGCTGAGAGGAAGTGATTGTTCAATCTTTGGTACTACTTGTTGTCTCTCTGGACTCTCTCTGTTGATCTGGATCAGTTTCAAACAGTTCCTTAATGACTATTCATTCCACCCAGACAGCAAGGTGATACATGCTTGTGTCTCCTGTGTGGGTGCAAGAGCAATGTTTAACCCTTTTGCCCCCACTGGGTAGCAATGCAATGATAGAGAGAAACTGAGGCGCCCATAGGATTCATAAAAATATTAAAGAAAATTCCCACTTTGCCATATCCTAGTACTTAATTTGTAAGAAACCCATGCCTTAAGAATAGGTTAAATGTAAAATTTGTCAGACACTGCATTGAAATATGAGCAGCGTTTATTTTCAAAACACTAAAACTAACCATACACTTTTGACTTAACTTTCTAGGAGTTCAGCCAGGCCCTATATATGGGAAACTGAAGAATGGTGTTACAGTTGTCTTAGAAAATGGAGTAACCATTTCTCCTTCAGATGTCTTGGAGGAGCCTATTCCTGGAAGAAAAATTTGTATTTTAGGTGACTGTTCAGGTGTGGTTGGAGATGGAGCAAAGAAACTGTGTTACGAAGCAGATCTGTTAGTTCATGAAGCCACACTGGATGACGCCCAAGTGGACAAAGCCAAAGAGCATGGTCATAGCACTCCAAAAATGGCAGCTGAGTTTGCAAAGTTGTGTAAGGTTAAGAAACTGGTTCTGACTCACTTCAGTCAAAGGTATAAACCAGCTGGTCAAATTGGAGAAGGAGATATTGATGTCACGGAACTGAAGAGACAAGCAGAATCAGCGTTAAATGGTCAAGAAGTAACTTTAGCTGAGGATTTTATGACAATAGATATTCCAGGGAAAAAGCAGAAGTAGCATCTAGCTCTATAATATCACACAAATTAGCTTGCTGTTGAACTGTGAGTTTACAGCTAGGGCTTCAGGTATCCAAATTGGTTCCTCGGTTTCCAGATGAAGAAGTTGAATTGCTAAGGTGACATGCTCAGTTGCTAGAGAATGACTAAGTGCTGGATTTACTTGCTATAGAGTTTTAAGGCTCAACTCTGCAAAATGCGGAGTGCCTCAGCAACTTTAATGGCAGTTGAAGGTGTTCCACACCTCTGAGAAATGGGCCATTATAGAATGGTATTGCTGTTAACTTGCCCTCCTAGGAAGAAGGGAGATGGAAAAGCAGATTACTAGTCAAACTCACTGTCTTAAGTGAAATAGGTGTGCAGCTACCCGAGCAAGGGGGGGGGGGGAAAGGAAACTCATTCTTTGGTTTATATAAATACAACTATGGAAACATGTGGAGACAAAGCAAAATATTTATTGATCATCTAAACACTTAGCTGCAAATCTAAATAACTTTTAAAATAAAATATATGGAATGCCTTTAACTTATCTTTTTGGAATTAAGTGTTTAGGTGCTTGATTCAGGTATTTAGCCAAACAGTCTGGAAAACTTAACCGTATAGGCAGAAATCTTCTGAACACTAGACACTTTTTATTAGAACTTCAGATTCTCTAGTCTTAAGTCTTAAAATAGAATTTTGCATTTTTTGCATCTTATTTACAGTCCTCCGTGAATCCTAGTGGCATACCAAAGTAGATATTTTTTAACTTCTCAACCTCTCATGAGCTTTTGTATAAAATATTTTCAATAATTATTTAAATGATTTTATGTAAAAGGAATATTGGCATAAACAAACTAATAAAGTATTGATAACTGCCACGTGGTTTGTAAATTACTCATCACTAATGTACAGAAATACTACACATTAATATGATTATTGTATTTCATAGAACCATAAGATTAGAAGAGACTGCAAGGGTCATCTGGTCTAACTCCCTCAAGGATTTATTGTGTCATCTATTTGCTTGAAGAGATCACTAATGTCAATGAAAATTCACCACACAGATAAATGGTTGACTGTACTCCCTAGCTGTTAAAGGGACACTGTAGATTTAAATTTGGCTCAGAATTAAAATTATGGGTTTTGTAGACAAAAAAAAATGCTGCCTAGGGCCACGCAAAGTGTGTGTGGGTTTTTTTTGTTTGTTTGTTTTTTTCTGAGATTGTTTTTTGTTCAGCATTTTTAAACATTTTCGTGTAGTGTCTGAAACACAAGCCTGGGTACACTAAGAACCTGCCAGTGAAACTGACTTTCATTGCACAAGATGAGCAGTACAGTAACTGAAGTGCATAGTAAAAAACTGAACTAAAATTTTCATTAAGATGTTAATAACATAGGTAAAGAAATTACGAAATCATGTCATTTGAACTACACTATACGCAAACTTTTATAAGCCTATTACTTGATATCAATACAAGGTCTAATTTAACAAACCACATTTGTGAAAGATTTGGAACAAAATAATTTGTTCCAAGCTATGATTTTAAAACCTTCTTATATATACTTGAGAAAGAAGTAACTGCAGAGAAAAGATAAAAACAAATTCTAGTTATGGGCCTGTTCCTTCTCCTACTTAGTCAGTCCTCTAGAGTCAGGCATGGCTTGACAATTCTTTTTCAGACGTTCTGTGACAAAAATGAGAATTCCAGGTTTCTCTACCTGTGTAAAAAATCTCTGTACCAGTAATGTGTTTTGTGCTGTAAACCTAGTTAAATGTGACATGTTTTTGAAGGGTCCCAGAAAGTATCTTATGCAAAATAAGCATTAGTCTATCAATATAGCTGATATAAGCATTACTTTATCGGTATAACTGCATCTACACAAGAGGAGTTACAGTGATTAACTATCTTTTTCTAAACTGGAATGATTAAAACAAAATAAAAACTAAGTCCCATTTTCAAACATGTCTTAGGCTCAGAAGTATCAATGAGACTTTAGGAAATTAAGCACCAAATCACTTTTGAAAATGGCATGTAGGCTCCTCAGTTACTTAAGAACTCTTGAAAATTTTACCCTAGATACGCTTTCTTAACATGGATTATTAAAGGCTAACAATATTGAATGGTTTCTGTGGTGCCTAACTTTTTAGAGCATTTATTAAAATACAACTGATACTTAGAAAGTGAACAGTATCATATTACACTGATGCTAATACAAACCATAAAAATTAGCATCAAAACTTGTTTTAAATTTAACAGGACTTAAAAACCTAAGTATGATATAATCACATTTACAGAAATACTCGTATTACCACATCTCTCGAAAAATGGGTCAAATTCAGCCCAACTGTAAGCAGGTACACCTCTCTTCAGGACAGGGCCACCTGTTTATACTAGCTCACTACCCAACAAGTGTCCCTCAAATATAAGATGCAGTGATCCGCATACAGTAGCGATAGACACTCCTCAGCCGTCAGTTGGGTTTGTCTAGAGACAAAGTTGTATCCTGCAAATACTTCCATGGTGCTTCTCCACACTGGCTGCCTCATTGAAAAGCATGCAATTCTAGTTAAGGTGCACACCACACCCCTGCTGCTAAAAACAAATCTGTAGAACCATGGTATGCATTACGTAACTATAGTGGTGCATGTGAAATACTTGTGCATATTGTGTGCTGAATTTCTCTTAGCAACTGTTATGGGGCCAAAACCTATTCTCTTTACACACACATTTCCTACCCTCAAGTCTTTTCCTTTCTTGATTGAAAAAAACTGGATTCTGAGCTCTTGAAAATCTAGCCACTAGTGCCATTAGAATGAAGTTAATGGGACTGTGTGTGCCAGTAAGAAAAGCAGGATTTGGGCCATAGCTTGTTCTTTATCCTTACTATTAATGGATGTATCCTTTTCTCATTGATCTATTAATCATTAATTAGGAGAGGGAGAAATTGCTTAGGATTCAAGTATATCTGACTGATAATGTTTAACTTGAGAGCTGCTAAATAATGTGGTAACATACTAAAATCTCTGGATAGATTTGTGAAGTGTGCTTTAGCAACTTCTTTATTTGCAAAGTTTCTAAGATGGAGAGAAACGTGAGATCCTTGACTTCCCTTTCTATTTTTATCTCCAAGTGCATCCAAAGTTAAAAATACTTCTCCCTGGGAAAAAACGGAGAGACCCAATACAGCTCACATGTCAGCATTCTAATTTTAAACTTAATTGACATGGCAGGTGTCAAGGCTCCTTCTTCACTCTGAACTATAGGGTACAGATGTGGGGGCCTGCATGAAAACTTCTAAGCTTAACCACCAGCTTAGATCTGGTCTGCTGCCACTACTCCCAATGTGCTAATTCCCTTCCCTGGGTAGCCTTGAGAGACTCTTCGCCAATTCCCTGGTGAGTACAGATCCAAACCTCTTGGATCTTAAAACAAGGAGAAATTAACCATTCCCCCTCCTTTCTCCCACCAACTCCTGGTGGATCAAGGTCCAACCCCCTTGAATCTAAAAACAAGGAAAAATCAATCAGGTTCTTAAAAAGAAGGCTTTTAATTAAAGAAAAAGGTAACAATCATCTCTGTAAAATCAGGAAGGAAAATAACTTTACAGGGTAATCAAACTTAAAGAGCCCAGAGGAACCCCCTCTAGCCTTAGGTTCAAAGTTACAGCAAACAGAGATAAACACCCTAGTAAAAGGTACATTTACAAGTTGAGAAAACAAAGATAAAACTAACACGCCTTGCCTGGCTGTTTACTTACAAGTTTGAAATATGAGAGACTTGTTCAGAAAGATTTGGAGAGCATGGATTGATGTCTGGTCCCTCTCAGTCCCAAGAGTGAACAACCACCAAAAACAAAGAGCACAAACAAAAACCTTCCCCCCACCAAGATTTGAAAGTATCTTGTCCCCTTATTGGTTCTTTGGGTCAGGTGTCAGCCAGGTTACCTGAGCTTCTTAACCCTTTACAGGTAAAAGGATTTTGGAGTCTCTGGCCAGGAGGGATTTTATAGTATTGTACACAGGAGAGCTGTTACCCTTCCCTTTATAGTTATGACAGCAGGTACAAAGGCTGAATTCTCCCATATGCAAGTGAACAGGATATAGCATGGATTAAAATTTCCAGCTGTACAAATTCCCCTTTGAATGCCACAAGCTACCCTCAAAGACTCAGATAACATTTCCTCTCCTTTAAGAATTTTGAGCCAAGTAAAATTTCCTCTAGCATTCATGTCTGAATTTAGTACCCTTCTTCCCCACTAGTTGGCTGCTATTCTCGTGCTATGTAAGGACAGCAAATGGATGTGCTCTCTCAGTAAATGATACCTAATTAGGCCTAGTCCTGCAAAATGCGGAGTGCTCTCAATTGCCATATAGCTCAATGGGAATTGAGAAAAGCTCCTGTCAAGTGCTGAGTGTTTAGCACCGTACAGGATTGGGCCCAATATATGTGAAGTTCATTTGGATTGTGCAACGTGGAAACGTGGACCCAGAGCAACTGAGGTATTTGGAGGGAGCGCAGGGAGGAAACTGCTACTCTAGCTATTTTTTCTCCCCAACCTCTAGGATCTGGAGATGAGATGGTAAACATAATAGTGGGGATAACTGAATCCAGAACTTCTCTCAGCTATTCAAGTTCTAGTACAGGGGTAGGCAACCTATGGCACGCGTGCACTCACACTGCCCGGGTCCTGGCCACTGGTCCGGGGGGCTCTGCATTTTAATTTAATTTTAAATGAAGTTTCTTAAACATTTTAAAAACCTTATTTACTTTACATACAATAGTTTAGTTATATATTATAGACTTATAGAAAGAGATCTTCTAAAAACATTAAAATGTATGACTGGCATGCGAAACCTTAAATTAGAGTGAATAAATGAAGATTGGGCACACCACTTCTGAAAGGTTGACGACCCCTGTTAATGGCACTTTTGATGCCGAGTAAAAATAATGAAACGGGTGAGTATTGCTATCACCTGAAGATGACACTATGCATTTTCAGACAAACCAACATGATCAGGACAGTGTTGGGGCAATAGAGGTTTTGTGGAGGTGCTGATTACCATTATGTAGGCCAATGACTTCTAGAATTTTAAACCGTTTCTTCATTTTAAGATTTTTTCTTTTGGGAGGACTCACATTAGGCTGATATCAACAGAAGAGCATGAGAAATTAGTAAAGTGCTATGGGAATGGCAAGGGAAAATTAATTTTAAAGGGTAGGTTTGTGAAATTGCAGTTTTTGTACATACAGTTCATAATGTTACCTTTTATCCCAGTTCTCTTTTTGATCTCTTTTTCCTTTTGGGGCTCTATGTCAACTTTGTAAAAGGGTCACGGACAGAAACCCTAACCTAAAATTCAGAAATGTTTAGCTATTCAATGTCTGGTACAAGCTATCTAGGGGATTAATCTGGCCCCAGCAAATCTCCATTTACTTCAATGTGTTTGGTTCTAGGTCTGGTGGCTCCAGCCTCCAGAGAATTGAATCTCGAGGAAACAAACTTCTGGACAGTAACCATTAGAGTCGCCTGGCATCAGAACTTCCTGTTTATATCTGTTTAGGAGTGACTGTAAGTTCTAATACCTCAAGAACCAGCCAAGGTGGCAAAGAAAGCTTTTAGTCCTGGTAATCACAAAATGGGAACTTAAATATGAAACGTTGCTTTGTGTAAAAACCTATTTTAGAAACACTTCAGTGGGTTCTAAAATATATTTGTTATGGCTTCCCCCCACCCCCATGTGGCCTTTAAGGGGTTCCAAGTTAGCCTAGCTTTGCAGCAAGAGAGAGAGATAAAATAGCACCAATAACATTTTTAAATGCTATAAAACGTCTTGAGAATTTTTTTCTGTACAGTATGTGGCATAAACAAAATACAT